CAAAAAAAAAAAAAAAAAAAAGATGTGATCCTTTCTAGGTTTTGCAAAGATCTCTCTGGCTGCCTGTGGGGAAGGGGACAGGGTAGAAGCAAGAGACCAGGGAGGAGACAGTCTGTTGTCTAGGTGGGAGAAGTGGGTGGATTAGAGACATACTGTGGGAAGTGGACAGCTCCCGAGTGGTGCCTCCCAAAGTCTGCTTCTTTTGTGAGCATCAGACAGAAGCCTCAACCCAAGCGGAAGCTTGGTGAGTCCTTGAGGGGTTTGGCAGAGACCTGGGCTAGTCTGGATCTTACCTGGCCACCTGCAAGTAGAGCACTGTGTTCTCACCCTCGTAGGTGCAGGAAGCTGCCACTTTGGTGACCAGAGAGGGCAGACCACTCAGCTTTGAGTAGCCATGTCCACCACAGGCCCTGCGGCACGTCTCGGCTCCCTGGGTGCAAAACTCTGATACCATGGCCTTCATACCTGAGGTCAGTGCGTGGAGCTGTGAGAACAGGAAAAGGGGTCAGGCAGTATAAGGGGGTCCTTCACCATAGGTGACAACCATGCTTACCATGCATTGAGTACTTAGTGCATTCTGAGCACAACTCTGTGAGATAAGACGTGTTTTCTCAGCTCACAACTTTATGAATGAGAAGGCTGAGACTCAGAGGTTATGCCACTCACCCCAAGTCACACAATTAGGCCATGTAGCTGTGGGGGCCATAAGAAGAAAGCAAAACCTGGCCTAGCCAGTGTCTCCAGGATCAGGAAGGGGAGGTTTCCTGGATTGGGCCTACCATCTTTCTGGAATTATGGATTTTGTTGGCAAGCAGGGGTTTTGGAAAGTTGGCCTGTGAGCAGAGGTGTCCACCATCAACCTACTTCCTGGGTAGTAGGAGGGTGATGGGGTCTGAATGCATCCGCCCAAAATTCATGTTGCAATCGTAACCCCCAAGGTGATGGTCTTAGGAGGTGAGGCCTTTGGGAGGTGATTTGGCCATGAGGATGGTCAAGAATGGGATTAGTGTTCTTATGAAAAAGGCCCCTTCTACCATATGAGGACACAGCAAAAAAACAATTGTCTATGAACTAGGAAGCCGACCCTCACCAGACACCAAGTCTGCTGGAGCCTTGATCTTGGATGTCCCAGCTCCAGAACTGCGAGGAATAAATTTCTGTTGTTTGTAAGCCACCAATTTATGGTGTTCTGTTACAGCAGCCCCAGCAGACAGAGTGACCGCCAGGCAGCAGACCTGGTTTGAGTTTTTGGTTCTTCAAAGCCCCTATCCGTCTTTCAAACTTTCAAGTCCTTGTAGTAAGGTTGTGTCCCTTTACTTCTCTATGCTCCATCAGTTTGCTCATCTATAAAATGGAGATAATTGGTGCCTGCTATACCATTGGGAAGATTAATGAAGCAATGCATATAAAGCACAGTGCCTGGACAGATAGAAATCTCAGTATGTACATCAGTCCACAGTGCTTTATCTGAAACCCCTGGGCCAGGTATGTTTAGGAGTCAGAACAGCGTTTGAATTTTACAAAGGTAAATTAAAGCAGGGGTTTGAGGTTGAGGGTTTTCTCAAACCCCCAGTGGGGGTTGAGAAGCCTTAGTAGTTAAGCACAATACTTTTGCTACAAAGTGTATTCACAGAGTGGGATAAATCAGGTCATGTCAAACCGTGCCACCAAAGAAATTCAAACAACTTCTGGTTTTTTGAGCTTTTGGGGTTCAAGTGCACATCAGGGATTGTGGACCCATGTTCTCTACACTGTGTGTGCCTATTTCCTCTGACACTTTTGTAGCTCTCTGGGGGCCAATGTGAGTAAATTTATATATCAGGATCCAGTCACCCAGATGCCCTGGGATGCTGGAAGCTGGGGAGGTGAGGTGGTGGGAAATGCCTGCAGGGGCAGGGCTGTGGGTGCTTCCCAGTGAGCAGAAACATCTCAGCTGCCCTCCCAGTGCCAGCCCCTCAGCAGACAGCAGGTACCTCAGGCAGGGAGCTGAGGTCTCCATCTAGAATGGCAGTGTATGAGTGCTGGAAGAATTCCAAAAGGCTGACAGCCAGGAAGTGGAAGGCATAGCACCTGGCCAATGGAGGAAAGAGTTTCTGCTGCTGTGTCTGGTAGTCTAGGACTTTTGCCTCTGGGTCCCTGAGGGGAGAAGAAGCGGAAGATTTAGAAGGTCGCTGTGTGCCACGTCTACCTTCTATCCCCAACACCATAAAAGCCTTAACAATGGATGGTTTTTTATAACTCATTGCAAAATTTGACCTGAACTGATTCACGGCTATTGACAATCTGTAAAAAATCCCACCTGACATGAAAATCCACACATTCACTGCAGAAATATTGACACATTTGTTCATGGGTGCTGCCACTTGTGGAAGAAGGCTAACAAAGCTCCAGCTTACACTATGATTTATGTATGATAATCTAAAAGATAAAAAGTTCTGAATTCTAACACTTGGGGTCCTGAGGACTTAAAGTGAAGAGTGGGCCTGTGCCCCTTAGATTTGAATCTGTGGCCTTGTGCTGCCCATGTGTACTTGACATGTGCTGAGAAATATGTCAAGCCCAAAGAGTAATGCTTGGGATGGGAACTTGGGTCCTCAGTGCCTGAAGCATGATCAGCATGTAGGGGCCTGCAGTAACTGTGGATGGAAAGAGGGGGTGACTACGAGAAGCCTCCAGAGCTGACAGGAACCTGGGGTCTCCTCCCTGAGGCAGCAGCTCCTCACCTGACACACCCTTCTTATAACCATCCTGGGGACACTTCTGCAGCCAGATAAATGGGTGGTGGGCAGGACAGCAGCAGCAGCCCCTTCTTCCCAGTGATCCTACCCTCCAGAGGAGACTCCTTCAGCCTGGATGCTGATGTCAAGGTTAGCCGAGGGCAGATGGCTTTGCCAGAGGAAAGGACCCTGGACTGAGGGCTTGGCACGCGTTATTGCATTTCATCCTCAACATCACCCTGAAAGGCCACTCTTGCTGATGTGGTTGAGCCAAGTGTGACACCCAGGTTTGCCTGGCATCTAATCCTCAGTCCATTTGTACCAGGCTCCTTCCAGACCCTTGAGCCCATGGTATGAGTCAACCCCAGGATCTTGGACTGGATGTTCTCAAGTTCCAGTCCTGCTGATTTTACCTTTACAGGTGAGAGCACTGAGGCCAGAGAAGACCCTTGCCCAGGGTCTGTCAGCAGAGCTGGGAGGAGAACCATTGGTCAAAGCTGATTCCTCAGCACAAGTTCAGTCATGCTGTGACCACTCTTACCCTCTGGTCTTGTTTTTATCCATTTTGCTGCATTCTAGGGGTGGAGGGAGGATGTCCACTTGGGACATATTTATTCTAAAAAAATTATTTTTTTTTTTTTTACCTGAAATTCAATTTTAACTGGATATTTAGTATCTAGAAATCCTGTGTGTGCTGGGCTCGGTGGCTCAGCCTGTAATCCCGCGCCTTTGGGAGGCTGAGGTGAGTGGATTGCCTGAGCCCGCGGGTTCGAGACCCGCCTGGGCAGCGAGACCTCATCTCTACAATAAATAAAAAAAAATCAGCCGGGCGTGGTAGTGCATGCCTGTAATTCTGGCTACTCGGAAGGCTGAGGTGGAAGGATCACCGGAGCCCAGCAGATCGAGGCTGCGGTGGCTGGGATCGGCCACTGCACTCCAGTCTGGGCGACAGAGTGAGACTCCAACTCAAAAAAAAAAAAAAGAAATCCTGTATGTATGGGTGCGTGTGTGTGTGTATGTGTATACACACAGGTTAAACAGAGGATATGGTCAGCCCTTGCTATCCTGTGCTGTGGAGTGAACAGAGTGGAAGCTGAACACAACCAAGCATAATTAAAGGGATCCAGATGTAGACATACACAGGCTAATGCTGACAGTCAGTCACAGCCACACAGAATGAGTTCAGCCATGTACAGTCTGATGTGACAATTGAGCTTCACCAGACATAGCCCAACAGAACAAACTCAACCAGCCAAAGTCAGATGCAGCTTGGTAACTGGCTATCCAGACCCACTTAGCTCATCATGGCCACATAAAGCTCAGCCAGATTTGGACAGGCATGGATGGAGACCTGGTGGTAGGGGCCAGAGACATGATCGCACAGAACACCAGGGGCCAGACACTGAGGACATAGGCTGGGCCAGCCAGGTTTGAAGGAGGCAGCCCCAGTGCGGTCAGCTGGGGCTAGGCCTGGGCAGATTGGATGTGTGCGTGGGGTTGGGGTAATGCCTGACCCCAGCACCTAGCTCTAGCAGAGGGGTGCTGTTGGGGGAGGCACCATGGAACTAAGAGGTTGCTGTGTCGCTGTGGACAGCCTCTGGGGCCTTACCTGGGCCGCAGCCGGGACTGGCGGCGGATGACAGAGTAGCGCATGGCGATGACACAGGCCTTCTGCAGCAGTGGGAGGACCTCGCCCAGCAGCAGCTCCACCCGCACTACCACCATGCCCAGATAGTTATTCTGTACTGTTCCAAGCCTGGTGTAAGTGCCATCTGGCAGGACCTGTGAGGGATGAGGACGGGCCCTGGGTCCCAGACTGCACCCTCTGCCCCTACAGCCATGCCCCTCCACACCCGGTGGACACCATGCTTCCCAAACCACTTACCTGGAGCTGACAGTCAACAGTTTACTACTGGACATCTCTGTGCTTGTTGCTAACTAGCCCCTCCCCCAGGTACTGTGTTCACAGCTCCTCTCCTGGGGCCCTACCTATGATGCACAACTCAAGAGGGAATGCCTGGCAAAATTGGGACCTCCAGAACTCCAGCCAGCATTCTGACTGGGGTCTTGTCAGTGAGGGCTTCACTGTGGCTAGAAACTACATGGACCACCGTGCCCTGTTCCTCTCCTGGGACTGCCTTGCCACCCCACCCTGCCATTGCTCTGCCACCCCGTGGGATGAGCACTTCCACATGAGAAGTCTGAGGCTCACAAGGGCAAAGTCACAATGCTCCTCAGCTAGGGATTTACCCCAGAGCTGCTCTGGGTGGAGGGAATGTGGCCCAAACTCAGCTCCATGGAGGGTCCAGAGCCAGCAGCAGCCTGCACAGAGTGCAGGTCCCCTTCCCAGGCAGTACAAGTCCTCAGCCTCCTCACACCCCTGACCTGTGCAAAGCGATTTAGCATGTTCTCCCTGGGGATCCGCACGTGGTCCAGTTGCAGAAATCCATTGTCTGTTTGGTCAAAGTCCATCTTGGGCCCGATGTCCCCAACAGTGATTCCTAGAAGGAGATGGAGATGCCAACACCCATGAGCTGAGTGCTTCCTATGTGCCAGGTGTCACACACACATTCCAGCTCACAGCAACCTGGGACAGTTGTGACTCTAGGCTATTACACCAGTTTTGTACGTAAGCAAGCTGAGGTCATGCCCTTCTCCAGGCCTGGTGGGATGGGTTTCCTCCTGACAGGGGTCCTTGAGGGAGCAGTGTGGGCTCACCTGGTAGCGGAGTGTGGTCCTCAAGACTCCGGATGGGCACAATGAAGGCATGCATGCCCTGTGGGGCTCCTGAGCAGATCAGCTGGGCCTGGACAAGGGCGTGGGTGGCCGTCCGTCCCACTAAGGGCAGAGAGGTAAGAGGCCCATCCCAAGAAGACCTGTGTACGCTGCCCCCCACTCAGCCTTCCGGGGTCTGGGGTCACGAATGGGCATGTTTGGGGTCTTAAAAAGTCACTGATCACAGAGAGGGGAACTTGCCTCCAAAGAATCAGACAAACCTAGCAGTGACTTGGCAGAGGCACTATGAAATGAGCAAGCCCCATTCCCCAAACTATTACTGAATTACTCTGCCATCAACCTCAATAATGACTACAGGTAATTCCCATTTATCAAAAGCTGGGTGGTACCAGATCCTGTGATGATGCTTTCTAATTTTTGCAGGACAGGTATGAGGAATCCCATTTTTCCAGGTAAGGAAAACAGGCTGAGTGTGGAGTGACACACTGAAGGTCACTGGCCTGGAAGGGGAGAGCTGGGATTTGAACCCTGGCTGGTTTTTTTTTTTTGCTTGTTTGACAGTGGCCATTAATTTTCTCCCTCTGTCTCATATCACTCTTCATGTCTCTCCCTTATTTCTCTTGCCCGACTCTCAATCTCTCTCCCTCTCTCTGTCTCTCTCCCCTAACATTTTCTTGCTTGAGTTAGACTACTCATGTTTTGTTTTTTTTTCACACAAGGTGCTCACTGACTGGGTCCCCAAGTGCCACAGATGTGTCCTCAGAGGTGAATTCTCAAGTCTGAGGAAGGAGAACCCTGCCCTTGGGGCTTGGCAAATCACTGAGTCTCGGGATGCTTGATGTGGCTGCCCCCTGGTGGCCATAGGAGCGGTATGGTGTCAGAGGCGTGACTGCACCGGTGGTGGGTGTGAGCCTTTCTGACTGTCTGGAGCAGGGGCAGGGAGGCGTTTCTCACTGTGTCACCACAGGCCTGTGCTATGGTGGTGGAAGCTTTATCGCTAACTCGGGAGATGAGAGGAACTGGGGTTGTGGGCATGCCTGGGACTAAGCCAAGTGTGTGTGTCTGTGTGTGTGTGTGTGCGCGCCACGTGTGTATGCACATGTGTGTCCGTGGGGCAATGTGTGTATGTAAGAGTGTGAGGCCTTGTCCCTCATGGATTTTCTCCTCTACTTCAAAGTTCTCTTGGAGGCCTCCCAGCCACTCACCCATGAAATTCTTAATACCTCACTTATTGTACAGAATTGGAACCTGAGGCTCAGGGAGGTGAATTGACTTGCCCGAGGCCACCAGCCCAGAATGGAAAATCAATCTGAGTTCTCTTGGACATCAAAGCCAGTGCTACTCTGCCCTCCAACTTTGTTCTAATGGGGAGAGATAAGGAGGGGAAGGATGCATACTCACAGTCCCCAGGCCACCATTTGGTAGCAGTCATCGTGGGGCTGTGTATCACAAACTCCTGGGTGGTTGCATCATAGGTAGCTTCAGTCTCCAGACCTTGAAGGTATGTCCCTTGGGATCAAAGGGGGGAGTTAGACATTGGGCCGAGGTGGGGCTCTCATCTGAGAAGCAGCTTCCGGGTAGGCCTGGGACTCTTAGCACCAGCCTCTATGGTGTCGGAGTCAGCTCCCAGCTTTCCTTGCAGGCATTTCTCCCCTTTCACAACCCCCTGTAGCCAATCCCTGACAAGGAATGGATGCTGATGTTTCCAAAAGGAATGACTTGCCCCCCTGTAGCTCACGTAAAATGTGCAAATTACAAAAAGGTACCCCTTCCTTGACTGCCATTTGATGGAATGTTTTCATATTAGATACACAAATCAATGACTACTGAGATGTAAATGGGCCCTCTGGAGTTGTGCAGTACACAACCTGAACACTGCATGCAGCAACGCTGGCTCACCATGTCCCAGTTCTGTCTGGGCATATGTTGTGATGATCTGGAGCTTTTGGCAGAGTGGGTCCCATTTGGCGATCTGCTCATCTGAGCCCAGGCTCCTGAGGGCTTTCTGAAAGACTCTGTGTAGATTTAAGGTCAGGTCTCCAGAAAGGGTTCTGTGGGGGAGAAATGTGGTTGAGTAGCCGACTGAAGACAGGGGCCTAGGCACCCTCACCTGGACAGGGGATAGGAGGGAAGAGCACCTGGCCTCCTGATTTCTCAACAAGTCTTGCCTTTATTAGGGAAAATGGCTCATGGGGCTGGGGGATTTCCACATGATCCCAGGTAGATTCCTTTCTAAAAGTAGGGCTGCCCCAGGAGTGAGCACCTGTATGCGTAGTCTAGTTCACGACCACCTTCCAACCAGCCCAGACGCTGTGCTATCATCTGGAGGTGGAATGTCTTCTTCACGGCAGCCTGATAACGCTCATTCTGGGTCATGAAATAATTGTCCACCCTGTTAAACTCTGGGTTACTGTGGATGATCATCTCTGCAGGGGACAGACAAAAGAGAACTTAGGGACCTGGGTGAGGTTTCTGGTGCCTCTAAATCTTACCCACTTGCCTCATGGACCTGGAAAGGAAGTCAGACATTACTGTCATTTTACAGATGAACCAGAGGTCAGAAAGGGACTTACCCAAGGTTACAAAGCTATGCAGAGGCAGAATTTTAGGACAAGCATCCAGGTCTTCTGCTGCCTAGCACTCTTCTGTCCCTGAGAGGGGCTCAGGAAATATTGGCTTGTTAAGAATGCCTTCAGTGTCTAAATGAATGAATCTCTAACAGTGGAAGTTCAAGGGCCCAGTTTGTTATTTGAAGTAGGGATGACTCATGAAAGACTCTGCTAAGAAAAGCATGGGCCATAGAGCAGATGTGCCATCCCAGCCTCCTCTTACCAACTTTCCTCCGGAGCACAGTGTTCTGGGCACCTCCGTCAAGGATGTTGGTGAGCCGCTCCACATCGAAGGACTGCACATACCTCTCACTGTCTATGTCAGGGTGCACCTGCCGGCTCCAGGTATCCACCATTGACACTCGGTGCACTGGACTGCCCATCCTACACTGCGTCTATCTGAGGAGATATGATCAAGGAGAGACACTTCTGGTCTGGCCGCTTTCAGGATCTGCTCTGAGTGCTGGGTGGTGCCAAGAGCCTGTGTGCAAGAGGAGCTGCCTGGTGGAGGAGAGCCATCCCTTAGGTACCTGAAGGCCACCACACTTTCACACCCTCCCTGAGGACCCTGGCTGTGGCCCAGGCACTGTTCGTATTGCAGGTACGTGCAGCCACTGCTCAGTACTCGTGAGCCAAGACTGGGTGTTGAGCAAGACTGCAGTACGTGTTAGCCAAAACTGGGCAGGCCTGACCACCAGCTCGGACTCTGTCCCCAGCAGCTTCTGTTACAAGCACGGTCTGGGGAGTCCTCATGCAAAGTCGATGAAGATTATGCATGAAGAAAACAATCTTACAGAGATCAAGTGGACCCTAGCTGCCCATCTGGAGATGGACAGGTGCCGAGTGGGTCTGATCACAAAACTTTGTCCACACACTATAGCTTCGCTGAGGGCTCTTCCTGGGGGACCTCGTGGTTCGATGCACCTACTCCTGAGTTCTGGGCTTATTCAGCCCCATTTCTGTGAGACCTGCTGGGGTGCTGTGGAGCTGAGGGAGGAAGCCTGCTCCTTGCCTGTGAAGTGTCCCCCGAAACGTCTGCTGTCAGGGTGGTCCTGCCTTCTTCACAGCAAATCCTTGACCGCTTAGAAAGCTCCGTTCCACCACAGCAAGGCAACCACCAAGTGCAATTCATCCTACTTCGAGAGCCTCTCAAATCCATCTGCTCTTTGCCATCTCCTAGGAGAGCACCCAGGCCACTGTCATCTCTTATCTGGCGTCAGTATCCCTCTTCTCTGTTCTCCTAGCTGTTGGGTGAGTTCTTGAGCAGCAAATCACGTTAATCCCCCCTGCTTGGAATCTGTTTCTTGGTGCCCCGTGTTTATGGAACAGGGTCCCTGCAGTGCCCATTTGCCTCCCACCCCACTTGCCCCTCTCCTGTATCCACCTACCCCCTCCCGCTTCCTCTGTTCACTCTCCTCCTGTTCTTTGCTCCACTGTTCCCTTTGTCCCACTGTCTGCTCTGGGCAAAGCTCAGCGCCCTGGTGTTCCTAGTTAACCCCAGCTCCCAGAGCACCTTCCTCTATGAAGCCCTACTGGTGGCAGTGCCCCGGGAGAACTAAGCACCTCTTTGACAGTGCCCACTGGGTGCTACTAGTGTTAGGGACAAGTTCTTGTTACTTGCGTGTCCCTCCCCCAGGTCAGCGAGTGCCCGGAGGTCAGCTCTGCATTGTTCTACCTGCAGCAGACATGCTTGCATCTTTCTTGCAGGCCAGGAGCCCACTCCTGGCCTCTTGCTTCCTCACCCATCTCTATGGATGACTACTATTATAACCATTTCGTGGAGAGGACTTGGGCCTCAGGAAGGGAGGAGGCTGTGAGGTCACGCAGACACCTGGAGCAAGTGGAATCTACGGCAGGCTGCCCAGCCAAGGCCCCTCCCAGGGCTGTGTGGTGCCAAGAGCTCTCATGGCCTGCCTCTGGCCTCCTGCAAGCCCATGGGCACAGCATCTCTCTTCCTGCCCATCTTCTCTCTGCCCCTTGCTCCCTCTATTCCAACTGCTGCCACCTCCTTGCTCTTCCCAAACATTCTGGGCCTCTTCACCACTGCCGGCCTTCGCCAGGACTGCACTCTCTGCCAAGGTCACCCTTTTCTCAGATGTCACCGGGTTCCCTGCATTTCACCTCAGTGTCACCTCTCAGTGAGGCCCACCTGTCAGTGGCCACCCTCCTTAAAGCTTCAAGCCCTCTCCCCCGGCGTCCCCAGTCCCCTCCGCAGTCTGTTCTACTTTTCCTCTGTTCATTTATCACCTTCTGGCATAGGACAATGGACTCATTTGTTGTGTTTTTGTTTACGGCTGTCACCCCTCTACTAACACATAAAGCTGTGGCCCTCACATTTGGTGCTGGGCCAGTGAGCTGCGCTGAGGGTCAGGGCTGGGGCGGTGTAGTCCTCAGGGGTCTCCCAGGCCCTCCCCTGTCCCGTGGCCTGGCTGGCCTAACTCACCTCTATCCTGTGCCTGCACTGTAGTTCTGGAGTGGCCTCTCCCTGGTTGCTGGCCTGCGTTTTCTGCAGCTGGTGGCCCAGCCCTTCTCTCCTCCCACAGAGGGGTTGGAACCTGGAAGCCCAGAACTGCTCAGCCTGCGAGGCTGGGCTTGCTGAAATTTTCCCTTTCTCCCCCTCTCCCTGGTCAAGTGTGCTGGGGCGACCCCAGGAGGGTTGCTGTGAGGATGAAGCCCTTCCATTTCAAAGCCAGGGCTTCCTTGGAGACTACTTGTGCCAAAAAGCTGTGTATCCCAGCTGTGTTTCCAAAGCAAAACCCTGTCTTTGTTGCCTTCCCTGATCTTTCATCATGTGCCCTTCTGAGATTCAAGCTGTTAAAATTGCAGGAGCTCGATTGGCTCCCTTCAGGTGGTCCTCCTAGGAAAGGGTTGCTCTGTAAGGTGAGTGATTTTCCTCTCGCCCCATGTCTCTGCTCTAAAATTTGGTTTGTCTTCTGCTCAGCATTCCCTGGATACATATCTGTGGGTCCCCTGCGGTGTGTTGGGCACGGTGCTGGGTGGGACCCAGAGGGGAGCCCCGTCTCAGTGAGTGGCATGAGATGTCTAGAGGTTCCCTCACCCCCGTGCATAGCAACCCTGGAAAGTGGGATGCAGCCCCCCATTTTACAGGTGAGGAAACACGCTTGCGGGAGTGATGTCCCTTTGCTCGGGTTTGCACAGCTAGAATTTGAACCAGATCCCTAAGGACAAAGGTGAGCTCTTACCCCATTTATGTAAGGCTGGGAAAAAAATCAAGAGATATCCACTGGTGGGAGACAGGCATCTGTCCTGGCAGAACTTCTGAGATATGGTGTCCTCCACTCCTGGGCCTCAGTGTCCCCATCTTTGACATAGGGTGTTTGCTCACCGTATCTCCAAGGTTGTGTTAAGCTTGTGTTTGCAGGAAGAGTCAGGACCTGTGACCCAAGCCTTGATATTTATCACCTGGCATGTCCTGCTGTAGCTGTGGGGTGTAGGCCCCTGCCAGTTCCATTGCTACAGAGGGTGGTGGTTTTAGGGAAGGTGACCTGGTCCCATTGTTTGGAGGTGAAAGTTCCAGCTTCCAGTGTGGCCTCTGCCGAGCATTCGTGCTGTCACTCACCATGGGCAGTTACTTAGTTTCTCTCTCTTTTTTAAATTGGAGTCTCACTCCGTGCCTAGGCTGGAGTGCAGTGACACACTCATGGTCACCACAGCCTTGACCTGCTGGACTCAGGCAATCCTTCTGCCCCAGCCTTCCAAGTAGCTGGAACTACAGGCATGTGCTACCACACCCAGCTAATTTTTTTATTTATTGTAGAGATGAGGTCTCGCCAAGTTTCCCAGGCTGGTCTTGAACTCCTGGGCTCAGGCAATCCTGTCGCCTTAGCCTCCCAAAGTGCTAGGATTACAGGCTTGAGCCACCGCATACAGCATCTGCCATAGTTTCCATGCCTTAATAAACTCTCCTTGTTTAAATTATTTCTTCATCAGCTTTGGAGCTGACCCTACTCTATGTGATTTGGATGTGATCATTTCGATTTGTTGCACTAAACTTGAATTATCCAGCTTTCCAAGTTTTTTTTTTTAATTATGAAAAATTTCATCCCAGATGCGGTGGCTCATGCCTGTAATCCCAGCACTTTGGGAGGTTGAGGTGAGAAAATTGCGTGAGCCCAGGGGTTTGAGATCAGCCTGGGCAACTTCATCTCTACAATAAATCAAAAAATTAGCCAGGTGTGGTGGTGTTTGCCTGTAGCTCCAGGTGGAAGCCCAGCAGGTTGAAGCTGTGGTAGCCATGAGTATGCCACTGCACTCCAGTCTGGGTGACAGAGTGAGACTCTGATTAAAAAAAAAAAAAAGCCAGGCTTGGTGGCTCAGCCTGTAATCCCGCGCCTTGGGAGGCTGAGGTGAATGGATTGCCTGATCCCGCGGGTTCGAGACCCGCCTGAGCAACTTGGCGAGACCTCATCTCTACAATAAATCAAAAAAATTAGCTGGGCGTGGTAGCGCGTGCCTGTAGTTCCAGCTACTTGAAAGGCTGAGGCGGAAGGATCACCGGAGCCCAGCAGATAGAGGCTGCGGTGCCCGGGAGCAGCCACTGCACTCCAGTCTGGGCGACAGAGTGAGACTCCAACTCAAACAAAGCAAAACAAAACAAAACAAAACAGAAAGATAAATTTTAAACTTATGCAAAAGGAAAAAAAATATAATGAACCTGCATGTACCTGACATCTTATCATCTCCTATCTCCTTGTTCTTTGTTTTTAACTTTTCATTTTGAAATAACTTTAGACTTTTGGAAAGCTGCAAAGTTTTTGTATAACCTTCACTCAGCTTCCTCTAATGTTAATATCTTAACAATCATGGTACAATGATAAAACCAAGAAATTAACTTTGATCCAATACTATTAATGAATCTTCAGAAATTATTTGAGTGTGTCAGAAGTCCCTAAGGTCAACCTCAGGTCCACTGATTTGCTAGAAAGACTCACAGAACTCAGAAATTGGTTGTGGTTTTTTACAGCGAAAGGACACAGATCAAAATCAACAAAGTAAAAGGCACATACTGTGGAGTCCAGGGGAGCAAGCTGAACTTCCAGTGTCTTCTCCCAGTGGTGTTGTATGGGCAGCATTTAATTCTCCTAGCTACGACGTGTCACAGTACACATGAAGTACTGGCAACTGGGGAAGCTCATCTTGGTGTCCAGAGCTATTTTAGTCAGTTACAGAGGCATGGGACACTGGTGTGCTGACCTTAGCTACTCAGTCTCCAGCCCCTTTAGAGGTCAAACTGATAGAGCGCGTGGCCCAGGGACCCACTACAGATCACATTATCTGTGCAAACTGCCTGGCATGGCCCAAGGCCCTGGATATACAAAGGCACTGTTTTGTTTTTTTTTAAATTTATTTTAAAGATGTGGGG